GAAAAAAAAAAAAATTTAAAAAAACCACCTTCTCCAGGGGCGGCTGGATGGCTCAGTCAGTAGAACTTCCCACAGGCTCAGATCATGATCTCACGGCTCGTGGGTTCGAGCCCCACCGTTGTGCCTTGTATTGACAGCCTGAAATCTGCTCTGGAGTCTCTGTCTTCCTCTCTCTCTGCCCTCTCGCGCTTGTGCTCTCTCCCTCAAAAACAAATAAACATTAAAAAAAAAAATCTCCTCCAAGCTGCCAACACCTTGGACTTTCCAGACCTTTCCCTTCCACAGCACCTAGCCCTGATCCCCTGCCCAGGGTCGCTTCAGGTCCTGGCAGCTTCAGGCCACGTTCTCACTCTCGGCAGTGACCCAAATTCTAGTCCATAGGGAAACCAAGCCCACCAGGCAAGAAATCCCTGACATCTTGCCCTTTCCCACCAACCAGAGTGCTGCCACAGGCTCCCTGCTGCTTCTGCACCTCCCTCCCCATCTTCTCCCTTAAATGAGCCCTCTTGTTATTTCCCTTCTCCTTCGGAAAGGTCTCCAAAACCCATGTCTTGTCTCGTCCACATCTGCACTGACCCCAAGCCAATTCAGGTTCTCCCCTTCCTCCATTTTCTGTGGCTCAGAATTCATAGTTCATATCCTCTGTCCAGTCCCACCCCCTTGGGTCCATTCGTGCAGCAGCCAAAGGGCTCTTCCTAAATAAAAGTGAGCCAAGTCCCTGCTCTGCGTAACACCATCCAGTTTAATCCTTTAAGCCTTTGGAATCAAAATTAGCCTCCTCAGCCCCACATCCGTGGGCACCATGGCTCTGCCCTGCTTGCCGCCCAAACCTCATTGCTTCCCCTCACTGCACCCTCCACTGCAGCCAACCACCTGCCATTTCCTCTACTTGCTTGTCCCCTGTGAAGTCTGTAATGCTAGTTGAAAACCACCTCCTCCATGAAGCCTTCCCTGCTGTCCCAGTCCTGGGTGCAGGCAGTCCCATGTCCCTGCATCTATCACCCCCCCTTGAGCACACCTGTGTGGATGCCCCTGGCACGCGTCTGTGTCTCCCTCACTATCAGGAGGGAGGGAGTTGCACCAGTCTTTGTATCCCCTACCACCGGCGCAGAGCCGGGTACAGAGAAGGTTTCAAATCACGTCTTCTGAATGAAGATAAAATTTAAACATGCTGAGCTATGCAGGATCCAGTATGACAGGCTGTGGAAAGATATAAACCTGCCTGCAGCCTCTCCTTTGCCCCTCCCTCTTCCCCTAGAGACATGAAAATCCAAATTCACACGAAAATTAAATCAGCAAGTGATTCTAATCTTTACCAAAGGATCTGCTATAGTATTCTTTAAATAGTCAACTCCCTTGGTGCATCTGAAATAAGACAGAATTTGCAAATGTGCATAGAGTGTGTGCCCTGCCCCCCCCCCTTCCCCTCCCCGTGGATTCCATGATGTCAGGGCATCTGTGCAGAGGGAGTAACGCAGGGATGAGGCTTCTCCCTGGCCAACTGGGAGCTCCCAGCCTCTGGAGGGGAGGATCCTGTGGTAGACAACGCATGGGATGGGCAGGATTGAGGACATACCATGTGAGATGCCCAGAGCAGAGTTAATCCGAGAAGGCTTCCTGGAGGGGGCCAAAGTTTGAGATGTGTTCTGCAGGACACAAAAGAAGGTGAGATGGGGAAGAAGGTGGCTTGCAATCTCTCTCACTGGCTGTGGGACTTCCGAGGAAAGTGGCGGAAGTGAGAGTTCTGAGCACGGAGGAAGGGAAAACAAGCCGCCTGCCTCGCCTCTCTGCCTCAGACCATCTACCCAGGGGGTGTTGCCCAGGACACTGGCAATACTGGGGAAGGGCCTGGCTTCTAGAAGCATGTGAGAGCCCCATCTCAGGCTCCATCTCTCCAAGGCTACTTGGTGCCCCTGTGACAGGTGAGGGCCACAGCTGCTGATTTATGCTTTTCAAATCAGGCTCCCTGGTCTAGAGAGTCCCATGGTCCTAAAGGGCCATGAGGAGAGAAGCGGCAGAATTAGCGCTGTTCCAGGAAACTGAGAGAGAAGATCACCACCTGCCCCCTGGAGCAGTGCCTGCAGTTCCCATTGCCTTCCCCAAGGGGGACAATAGGGGGCACCTTGCTGGGCCCTCAAGTCATAGTTGGAACCTGGAAATTTCATAATTTTTCCCATGTAATTGCTTGTCGTAATTATGCAATTAGCATGAGCAAATGCAATTGTCTAATCAGAACATGCAATCAGAAATGCTTGCCATAATTGGGGGGAAGGTTAGCGGGAATGGCTGGGTTTGTGACTTGGGGGAAAGGAATGAGCACGTGCAAGGGAGAACCGGGGCAGTAGGGTAGGCTCAGAGCCTCTCGCAAACAACAACAGACACAACTGTGTCACTGGGAAACAAGCACCATGTCTGCGTTGGGGGAGGGCTCTGGGGACACATCTGTGAATGCCAAGGTGCCTGGAGGCCCCGGCCATACTCCTGAACAGACTGACTGGATGTTGGTACGAGTAGGCCGTGAACTCCATAAAAGCCATGTGTCCATCTGCCATCCTGGGGCCTGCCTTAAGCAAGCCTGCTATTGAGGCCTTCTGGATTCTCATGGGGGTGTGGTCACTGCTCAGCCCCCCGCACAGGGTGGCTGTGACGGCCAGGAGAGGCAGGCCATGCACAGTGTCTGGTCCCTGATGGCATTCAGTACGTATTTATATAAACTTGTAAATGTGGGCTCTGTCATCCCCAGCTGTCAGGGAAGACCCCGTGACACCCAGAAGCATGCCCAAAGCATGACTCCCCAGGGGGCCGGAGTCAGCTCTCATTGCCTGCACAGGTAGCCGGACCATCCAGGATCTGCAGACCTGGCCAGTCAAGGGGGAAGAAGGCCCAAGGTGCTCGATGACAGCTGGTGGCGGGGTGGGGGGGGGGAGGAAGCTGGGGGGGGGTGGTGCTCTGGGCTCTGGGGAGAGCACAACCACTCCCTGGGGCTGCACAAGAGGCTCATCAAAAAGATAGGTGATGATCTCTGCCCCCCTCCCTCCCTGGGCACGTCATCAAGTTATTGCACTTGAACAACATCAGGCTGGCCTTCCAGGGAGGCGGGGGAGAGACCAAGAGGCATGGAAGAGAGAACACAGAGAAGCTTGGGGGAAGAAACAGTCACGGAGACAAAGCCAGCAAAAGACGGAGGGACAGAAAGAGGAGGAGAGGGGGTGGGGAGCAGGAGGGCTGAGCACAAGAGGGGCAGAAAGGGGGAGGACAGAGAGAAGCAAGGAAGGGACAGGAGAGGACATACAGGGCCCAGGAGCAGCACAGAGACGCCTGTACTAGGAAAGCAAAGAGTGGAGAAGGAGGAGCAGGAAGGAACTGTTAATGCAAGAAAAGCACAGTAGGATTTCTGTAGCCTCCTTCTGAGAGCAGAGTCCCTCTACTCTCCCCTTACAGCCTGCAAATGGTCCACAGCAAACCGTGGCAGAGAGAATGGAGCTTGGGCAGCTGTTCACTGACAGAGGGGCTGAGAGCCAGGAGTCAGGACTAGGGCCCCTGCAGCCTGCACCCCTACACCAACCCCATCTTTCACCAGCATCTCCTGGGCACCACACAGTGCAGGACACTCTTGGACACCCTGGTGGCGACAGTGCTAACAGGCAGGATGAGGGTGGACACTTGGCTGCCCCCAGGCCCACCTCCGTGCTGCCCGAGACCCCACTCAGCCGGTGCCACCTCCTGTAGCTGTCACCAGGGACCCCTGCCCCTTCGAGGACGGGTCTCTCAGGCTCCTCTGTGCTCAGGCAGGCCCAGCCCGGAACAGACGGGCAGCTCTTTAGGCGGCCCCACCCCCCCGGTTGCCCTCTGTGGTGCCTGGCACATAGTAGGTGCTTGGTAGGTAAATGAGGTCCATTGCCCGTCCCTCATCCATTGGCTGCCACTGGTCTCAGCAGCTGCACAAAAGTGGGTCTGTGGCTGCTCCAAGGGGTGCCCCAAGGTCCCCCTGCCAGGTCTTAGGGAGCTGAGGCTGAGGCGTGCGGTCCCGGCCGGGCAGGGCCAAGGGAGCCAAAGTGGAAGGAGGGTGGCAGATGGCCCTGGGCCGCAGGAACCATCCTGGCCCTGCCCTCGCTGACCTGTAGGCGGCCCAGACT